GAATGCCTTGGGCAGTCGGTCCACGATCCATGTCCGTCATCTGATGTTTTTGTCCCTGTGGTGTTTGTTTGGGTTGAACCCGGGAAAGCTGGTGCATTTTTATTGCCGGCAGTGCCCGCCGTGGCCTGACTGTAGCTGAAAGGACGTGGAGGCTGACGGGAGAAGTTTATAGATTCATAGAGTTGTTTAGGTTGGAAGAGACCTTGGGGTTTTTTTCATCCTGATAAGCGGGCTGGACCTTGGAGAGTTATTCTTATTAGATAACAGAGTGAAAAAAACCTTTAGGCTGTGCTTTAAAACTGTAGTGTCCATTGCAAGAACTGAGAGAAGTGGTGAGGAAGGTGTTGGGTTTGCATAAAACTGTCCCTTCTACCTTCATTAGGCGCTGGGACAATTAACAAGGAAGTTTGAGGATTGCAATGCCCATGCTAAAAACAAACTGGCTGCGCTTAGCCGGGCTGGCCCTGAGCACAGAAAGCTGCGTATCCTCAGTGCTGACCCTGGGAACAAAGGACCCTCCTGAACCCAAACATGTTTGTGTTAATCTAGGCTCCTTCCTGGCAGCGAGCGAGAGGAAACAGAGCCACTACCTCGAACAGATGTAGAGTGAGGAGATTACAGTGTGCGATTAAACACCCTCTCCATCACATCCTCCTCTCCGCCGTCCCAGCCCCGGCGCGTTAATGGGCTGTCCCAGGCTGCCTGCCAAGCTGGGGCAGATGTAACAGGCGGCAGATACTTAATCTCCTGCATCCGTGCCTGGTCTGGAGCTATTTGGGGTTTTTTTGGCTAACGCCAAGGCTTCTGCAAACACGTCGCTCCACAGGCCTCAGCTACGTTCGCTGGGACCCGCCTGCGAGGAAGGATGGGCTGGCAAAAGGCGGGAGGAACACATGGAATTCGTGCCCTGCAGCAAGGGTAAATTTAGCTGAAAAGCTGTTCAACCCAAAGCAAAAGGTGTTTTCCCACATCAGGCACCCCTGGGTGCGTAGGTCAGGGTTTGCTGACGGACGAGGTGCTGATGTAGTTGGACAAGGTCTTTATTTTGGTGGACTGGCGTGCTTTTTGGCTTGGAGGAGAAGATATCAGGATTGGGAAGGACTCGTTCCCTTTTTGTGTGGGTTTAGGCGCTGCCTCATATTGCCGTAGCAAGACTTGGTGCCAAGCGCTGCTCTCACAATAGAAGTAATCTGGGCTGGTTGCAAATGTCAGCTCTCCTACTGTGTGTTTAGGTTAATTAGCATGGTAATGGCAGAGTACCTTCCTTTATCAAACAAAAAGCTGTTTCTAAAATAAAAGAAACCCTGGTGAAAATCATAGAGATCAGAATTGTCATCACGTGAGGCACCCCTACCAGCTGAGTGGGTTGGATCGGACTAAGAAAAAACAGAGAAAAAAGTCACTTTTCTTTTCTCGGGTGAGAGCTGTGGCCTCCGTTACAGCGCTGGAGCAGTCGCCTTTGTCTGAACCATGGACTTACTCCTTGCTTTTGTGCCAAGGGGTCCCACACTGATTCCTGTAGCTGCCAACAATGTGCCATTGTCTCATGTAGAACAAGGGGAGAAGCCACAGGAGTTCTGCTAACGGCACCCGCATTGTCCGCTTGTCCCCTGTCATTGTTCTGGAGAGGACGCGGCTCGGTCAGCGGCAGCACCAGGTGACACTCGGAAGTTCAGAAGCCACGGGGACATTTCCCTCACGGGGTCCATTGGAACACAGCGGCAGAGCTGCCCCAGGGGTTTGCAGCTCCCCATGGCCAACATGTCTTGGGAAGGATCCCAGAAACATGCACAGCTGCGGAGAACCAGATACCTTCTCTCTCACACCAGCGTGGTTGGGAATCTGCGTTGCCGTGCCACTTCCCTTTCTCCTCGCCTGCGCAGAAATCCCTTTTCCTGAGCGTAGGAGACAACTGTTTGGCAAATAACCTCAGCTCTAAGGGAGAGCTTTCTTTTCCTAGAGCTGCGCCAAGCAGAGCGAGGATGGCGGTAGCAAAAGGCAAAGGGAATGACTTGGTATGAAAGTATAAGCGGCACCATCTGTTTCAGAAGGGCATCGCTTCTAATTCGGCGGCGAAGGAGGCTCCTGGAGTTAAGTAATTGGGAATAGTAGGCTCCTGGCTGGAAAGCGTGCCAGCACTTCTGGCAAAAAGCTGTTAAATCTTTGTTGCTGGCATGTGAAAGCAGTTCTGTGTAGCAGGGCTCCAAAGGCTGGTTTTAACTCTTGATGTGTGTTAAAAAAGAGAAGAAAAAGAAAAAAAAAAACAACAAAAAACCCCACAAAACCTATGGCACTTTTGATCTTGGAATGGCATGTGGCCGGGTGTCAAAAATAAAAGGGGAAGGTGAGTCCTCGCTGAGGCGTGTGAGCAGCTCTGAGTCTGATCCTCCCGTGCGATAACAGCCAGACCTGGCCTGCTGACAAATGCACACGAAATGGTGCCTGTTTTAACAGCTTTAGCAGGAAAACACACGGCACAATGAATGATTCATGAGGATCAATAGAAGCAAGGCATTTGCTGCCCCTAAACGCGAGCGCCTGCCTGCCAAAGGGTGCATTTGCAAGGTGAGTGATCACGAAATCCTCTGCTGAGCTTTTGGGACACAGTCACGCTTGGCTCTCCTCTTGCGACAGCCCTTACCCTGTAGTCTGCAAACACATCCAGCTTACCAGCCGGGACGAGGAGCCTTTAATTCTCCGGATGAAAGCACAAGCTGTTCCGCATCTCCCAGCAAGCACAAATACAAACAAGTCGGCGTTTCGCACCCCCGTCCTAAGGGTGGCTTCCTTGGCAGCTTTGGTCTTCATCCTGTTTGTCTGATTCATGATCAAAAGGGTGTTGCTGCCTACGTGTCTCTTTAAGCAGTTACTTCTATCGTATCTCATATAAACGCCCAAATTCTTTTCGTTAGAATAAAAAGAAGATAATGCAATCAAATAAGATCAATCTCTGCAGCCGTTGTCTTTCGCTAACAGCGCAGCCAGAGCTGGGCAAAGCTCTTTTGGGACTGCTTTTGGTGTGGAAGGGAAGAGGATGCTTCACAGCCATATGGATTTTCCTCCCAGGGGGAGAAAGTTGGATTTAAAAGCCTGAGCCCCAGCCATCCTGAAGATAAAACAGTTGGATTGTGAAACATGTCCTTTTTCCAAGTTCGATCTGGATGTTTTTTAATCTTCCTCAAATTAAAGGAGAGGAAAAAAAAAAAAGTAAATCTCTTGTTTGACCCAAAACAAAATTACAATTTGTTTGGCCAGCCAGATGAAAAAAATCAACTCTATTCTCAGTGTTAGTCCAAGTTGCCTTGCCAATAGTGCCTCCACAGCTCTCCTGCTTCATCCAGCTTTACCAGTCCCAGATTAGAGCCTTGTTGCTGAAGAGTTTACAAGAACAGGAGGGTTGAGTCACTTGCTCTAAGTTTAGTTCAGCAGTTCTGGTTAAATTCATAAACATTTGTCCATGTTTCACCTCTGGTTTGTGGCCATTTGTCCGCATCCTGTCTTTTTTAAGGTGTTTACTCACGTAAATTGCTTTAGCTTTGCTTTGTGAGGTTTTTACAAAGCGTGATGTGGATGTGCTTGTGTGCAAGGTGAAGCAGAGTTCTTGATGCAGCTGCAAGGTTTCCCTCACCTGTTGAACCAGAAGCCACTTTATATGAAGGTGAAGGGATTTGGTGAGGAAACGGATGAACTTGGTGCCTTGTAGCAGCACTTTTACATCTCGGCAGTCTTCTCTGGGAAGTAACCACTGAACCTGGTTGACTGTTCCCTGAGTTTTAGGTGAATTAGGATTTTAGGGGTTCGTTTTGTACCTGGTGCCTTGGAAAACCCCCTTGGCCCCCATTATTTGATGGACTCACCCTGGTCTCCAGTGGAGGACAGACCTGCAGACCTCTACAGCACGCTGCCAGCCCCATCCTCAACTGGGAACCTGCAGCGTGGTGGGGGAACAGATGGGAGTTTTTCCAATTCCTGATGCTGTTAGTGATGTGCTGGGTCTTCTCCACCGTTAATTCTTATCCTCCTCCTCAGGAAACATGTCGGAAGTGCCAGGGGCTGTGGAAGGAGCACATGAACCTCACCTGCGAGCAGCTGGCCGAGAAGGATGACATCAAATACAGGACAGCCATGTGAGTAAACTCCACAGCCAGGCAAAAACAGGGTGGGTGGGTAGACTCATAGTAATAATACACGGAGCAGTGTGCCCTGGTGTGGAGGGAATGAGAAACCCTTCTGTTCTTCTAACTAGCAGAGGCCCTAAAGTTCTGCCGGGTGTTGCTACCTTCCATCAGGGAGGTCCTCGGATGTCAGAGCTGAGGAGTCAGGAGGCTCCCAGGATAGGATTTCTTTCTGTGAAAGATACTTGGCAGCGGATCCAGTTGGTAATTCGAGAACGTGGGGGAGTTGTCACCAGACCAGCCTGCTCCTCTGGCTACCCCGGTGTCTCGCAGGCTGGCACCTGGTCCTTTGCAGAGGTGAGAAACCCCCATTAGTGTCGCTTCAGGGGGAGAAGGGAGGTGTTGCAGGGAGGCGAAGAAGGATATTGAGTCACATAAGTCATTACTACCCTTTGAAGATCCAGAGTGAAGACAATGCATAGTTTACTCAGCAGCTACTTTCTGGCTTTGTGGGGTGGGGTGTGGTGTGTTTTCTCAGAGAAGCTCATCTCTGTTTCTGTTTGTAGGAACTGTTACAGAATAGAGTCGCGTTTGTAAACACGACGGTGTAAATCCTAAGTGTTTCCCTAAAATCTTCGAAGGTTGACCTCTTCTGTTGCTACAGCAAATGAGAAAATCCTCTGCCTTTAGGAAATAAGGGAAAGTTCAGCCATGGAGCTGCGTTTCTGGTGCAGTCAAATGGGACTTGCCCACATTGCCCAATCCTTTCCTCTCTGAGTTAGAGCCTGTCTGGCATGAGGAGAGGCTGGAAAACTCCGTCACCGGGAGGCTGAATGACTGTTGCTTGCTCATCCCGCAGTCCCTAATTCAAACCAAAATCTTGACAGATTTGATCCAACTTTTTTCCTCTGCCCCTCCTTTCCCTGTAGGAAAGAGGCACGAGAGGTAGGAGGAAGGAGTTGTCATGTCCCTAATAAGGGAAAAACCCCTTGGTTTCAAAACCTTTAGGTGGGTAGATGAGTCTAACTGCCTGGTACAATAACAGCTTCCTTTTGAAGCCCTGCGTAAGGAAAGGGAAGCACAGCTGGAGTTCAGGGCAAACTTCCTGCCTTGCTCAAAGTTCCCAAAAAAAAATCTGCATTAGCAGCATCCTGTTAGCGGAGGGAAGAGCAGCTGCAGCTCAGAGGAAAGTCAGTCTCAAGTTGGTTGGGTTTGGTTTTTTTCATGTCTATTCTTAGCATATCTCCAGAAGCCTGTGTGCCGGTCACGCCAGGTATAACTGCGCGGGAGCCTGGGGTCGCTGCGAGGTGGCTGAAATTCCCTCCTCACCATTCCCAGCTCTGCTGGTGGTGCTGACGGGGTGGTTTGTGGGGCTGTGCTGAAGCCTGGTTTGGTGCTGTGATCCTCCTCGAAAATACCTCCCTGTCAGCCCCGAACGTAGGTTGGCTTTGCCGGCCCCGCTGGAGCCGTTGGGTGGAGATGCCTGGCTAAGGGAGATCGTTCCCCACGTCAGGTCTGCGCGGCCAGAGGACAGTGCAAACACGGTCTCTTTGCTCCGCTGTCATCAGATTTCACTTCTAGGTTGTGAATTAAATTGTAACGTGATCTCCGGCGGTCAGAAAATTGGCCCTTAGGATGACAACTTATATTCTTAAGTCTTTTAATTAAATGACCGAGGCTTTCCTCCGTTTCTGTGCCAAAATAGCATCGCCGTGAGCGGAGCCTTTACGCTGGAGCGCGTGTGCCTGCCAGGGTGTCGCTTGGGGACAGGGACTGTGCTTTGTCCTGGATTCCCATCTGTGCTTCGTTAGAGTAAAACCCATCTCTTGAACCTAAAGCAATAATCTCTGGAAAAAAGTAGGTGTAGGGA